CTATCTACTCTATCAAAATCGTAAAAGATTATTCAGAGTCGTTATTTTGTAGACATTAAAAGAACTACATTCGAAAAAGCTTGACATGTTGTAAAACTCAAAACGTTTGACATCAGATTTCTCAACACAAGGAACTGAGCAGACAGAGCTTTACAAATCTAGGGTAAAGAAATATTGAAATAAGCACAAGATATAACGTCATAGACCCACAGTGTTATATCTACGCTGACCAAGTGGCCCTGAACACGGTATTTCGACCAGCAGCATTTCCACAACACCATGTTTTAAGACCCTATAAATTTTATCACATCTTATTATTGCAATTTACAGACCTACTGAACTGATGGAAAATGTTGAAGAAATAATTTTCTGAAATTCAATATCGTATTTATTATATTCACAAATTCAGTTTTCCAAACAGTTGTAAACCCACGGTCTTTAGGATTTACACTGAAGAAAAAGGATAATAAACCTATATTGAAAGCTGGCATTGGGTTCTTAGTATTTTTCCAGGGATGTTTGTGTTCGTAATTCTGATTCTAAGTTACCTGGTACGGGACCTTTGGCTTGCTGAGAACTGTGGGGGTGACACTAGTCATCTTTTTCATACAGTGATTTAGAAGAGAAAGAAACAAAATACAGAAGTGTTTGTATGTCGAAAAGTTTACCCTGAGAAGCCTTGTTCAAAACGGCGGAAGTACATTTTACAGTTGAGAAGAAGCGTCAGATAGAGATCTTATTGGCAAAGTTATGACACCGACACCTGTGGCGTGGCTATGAGACGCTTTGCCGCCGTACGCAGAAGATCCGAGTTCGATTCTCGTGTAGGTAGGATTTTTACCGTGTGTCTCCAACTCTTTGCTTGGACGTTGTATCCGTCTCAGAACAAACTGGCCATGACAGAGAGGGCTGAAGTAGCATCCCTTTGACCACGGGGTAAAAAAACACCAACATTCAAGAAAAACCCAGTGTGCAGCCTTGATCAAAATGATACAACCACACTGATACTGATACGCAACTTTAGGACTAATACAACACAATATTTTGCGTTGTAACCCATACTATGTAATATTTTGTTTTTGATGTTGCATTTTAAAATAGGCACATACATTAAATCCACTTCATGACCGCTAAATGGCTTTTAAGTCTTAATTAAAATGTAATGAATAATTCAAACCAGTTAGTGGATTTGTGAACATTGCATGCAACATGACGTGCGTTTGAGCGTTTGTGTATGTGTAGGGAGGCGGGGTGGTTCTGTATGTGTTTTGTATGTATGTATATGTGTTTGGGGTGGTGTCTGTATACGTTTTGTGTGTGTGTGTGTGTGTGTGGGTGGGT